CTTAACATATTAGTTTACTTTTTGAAACATCAACGGTAGAGCCTTTTTAGAGCAGAATTTTCCGCTAATAGCTTATTTTTGACTTGTTAGCTTCTAACATCGACGGATTCTTTTTGTTTCCATTTTTCATTGCTACGCTGCCGTGCTGAAAAAAATCGCATAAATATTCAAATGTCACCGAATTCTCTCCGACATAATATTCATTTCAGGGATAAGTAACGGATGTTTATCCTTGAACTTTTCAAAAGCACTAGATTTGTGAAGAAAAAATTTCAAAAACGTTCAATGAAAAATATTTCTAAAATTGTCAAAAGCTCGCATTTTTTCAGAGGAAATTTGGCAAGGCCGGAATTTTCATAGGACATTTTCCTTAGCATGGCAATATGTTGCTCCGAGCTTTGATTCGTTCCTGCTACCTAATGGTTCACGCTGCAGCCGTATCGAGCGCCACTGTCGCGTCGCGCGTCCCCCGACCGTGAACGAATTGATAGGTCACTCGAGACCTCTTCAAAAGGCAAACACCGCCTTCTTCCGTGTCACCCACCCCCCGTCCGCCGCCGACCTGGTCCTTTCAGCGTTCAATCGTGTATTCTCTCATGTTTTCTCTATTTATCTTCGCCGTACGTGAGGGGTCTTTGCACTTCGCTCGCAAATTGATTCTGAAAAAAAGTGGCACGCGGAGTTGTCGCTCAAGACTTCTCGCCCATACACGAGTAAAATTCGTACGAGTTGGCAACACTGGGCCTCATCTATTGAAACGCGTGTAAAACTATCGATTTATCGATGAGTGTAGTCGAAAAATTCGTACTTATATTGCAACGTCTCACGATCGCATATTATGTTAAATTTCCTTGGGAGACATTTGGCCGGAATGTCCCGTTGAAATTTCCGATGAATATTTTTGAATGAGTGGAAAATGCTCACCAAAAATTCCGGGAAAAAGGTTTGATTTCCTCTTTTTTCATTCAGATGATGTCTCATAAAGAGAAAAAATTGGATATGTTTAGCGACTTGAGAGAGAATCGGACATCCTCTTTTTTCGGCTCTATAGTCGTTGATATGTCGCACCCAAAATCGATCGTTTATCATTGATGCAAACGAAGGAAAATCCTTACTGTCATCTTGCAAAAATTGGTGCTCAGCTGAAGTGCGTGCGCACTTCAGCACTTCTATTTTTTTTTTATTTTGGCGGAGGAAAGAATAATACGTTAAAATCAAGTTATTATTTCGGCACAAACTTTTCTAGAGAAGTGACAACGATGGTGGCCGAGGTCAAAAAAAGTGGTTTAAAACCGTATAAAAACCAAAGCACGAAAACCGAAGTCTTGTGATACATTTTTCGGATATTTTCGAGCAATTTTGCCAAAATGTGAGCGCAATCAACTCAAAATTGACTCTCCGCGTCCGCGACTCCGCATGAGACTTTTTTTCATATCCCTAATGGATAATATCTTATCAAACCTACAAAAAGCCTCAAACTTTTGGCCACTCCTTTTTGAACAAATGGTTTCCTTGTGAGCTTTTAAATTCGGAGAAAAGGTATTAAAAACGTTCCGAACTACAAGGATTTACCTTTCAAATACGTTTTTCTTGGAGCTTGAAATCTTGCGATACAAAATGTAGTCGTTGCAAAGAAATCCTCAAAAGGACCTTCTGTGACCGTGTCAACCAAATCGGTCGATGCAGAAACGTAACATTTCCTGATGGGTTCTGCGCTCCTTTAAATTGCCTGCACTCTAAGCCTCATAAAAAATGAACATACTGGAACTCGTTCATTCCAAGTTTGAATGGTGAAGTGAACTCTGAGTGACGTAAGTAGATCTCGCTGCCTCAAATGGAGGCTGCAGAACCTTCTTTTCAGCTGGAGAAACGGTTCTCTCTACGCTTCGAGTTGCCTTAGTTTTATTCAGCATTTCAGCAACTCTCGAGAAAGGATATTTACGTCTTACTCAATATGATTAAGAGTATTCCTTCTCTACGCACTAGTTTTCCTTCAAACAGGAGGTTAGGCAATACCGCACACATGAGCACGAATAGTTGCCTAGTCGAGCAGAGCTGCGGATTCTGTGCACTGGAAAAAAAAATAAACACATTGGATCTAGAGTCCAGACTCTTAAAAACATCGACAAGAAAAAGTACGCTTGATTCAATCAGAATCTAGCTTAAATCAAGAACCAAGCCTCTTAATTTAAGCGGATTTCGTTTGGATTCAAGCAAAAATCCGATTGAATCAAGAGTATATTTTTTCTTGTCGATGTTTTCAAGAGTCTTACCTCTAGATCCAATGTGTTTTTTTTTTTCCAGTGTATCATATTATGGATGGGCCAATATTCTGAAATAAGTAAACTATGGCCAAGAATGCTTTTCAATGACGGATAGCACGAATCTTTAAAAAGTCCTAAACTCTTAAGAGAGGAGGCACCAAAATCAAAATATGAGCACCATTCAACAATACACTGGAAAAAAAACACACATAATTGGATCTAGAGTCCAGACTCTTGAAAACATTGACAAGAAAAAGGACTCTTGATGCAATCAGATTTAAGCTTAAATCAAAAGGAAATCCACTTAAATTAAGAGGCTTGGTTCTTGATTTAAGCTTAAATCTGATTGAACCAAGAGTATTTTTTCTTGTCGATGTTTTTAAGAGTCTGGACTCTAGATCAATGTGTTTTTTTCCCAGTATAGAGCACCTATTTATTGAAGGAAGCATTACCGGTAGCCTCATTAGTGCATGAAATTTATGCGACACTTTTTGATTCGCTAGACTAGTTCCAGGTAATTAGAAGGATTTATGTAAACCTACAAAATTGTAACAGACTTTGGCGTACTTTGCAACATCTTAAAATATTAGCATCACGGGAACAAGAAAGCAGATTCCACCTCCGTTGAAAAAAAAAAATCCGCTCGTACAGTCATACATTTCCGAATACAATAGGTACTCTGCCTATGAAGAAGTGTCCCTGAAAACTTTTACACTTCCCAGAAAAAAAACAGTATTGATTCTCTATAAAGGTGTAAATCTCGAGTGAGATTTCATTCATACTCGTAATTTGAACGTGACCCTGAAGCACACGGCAACCCTGAGCGAGAGGTTACGACCGAGATCCCGGAATAATTGAACAGCTCAGTTACAGAAAGTAGTAAACGCCACGGGAATCCCGTCGCACTCGTGCCGTTTTTAAAATGAGCTTTGAATTTTTATTTCGGGCGATCTTTTCCCCCGTCTCACGAAAACCCCGCCCCTCCGCCCGGGCACGGCTACCAACTATGCAATTTTGAAAATGTCTCTTCCATCTCTCCTCCCGATGCTTTCGGCGCTGATCGGTCCTTCGATCTCGCCTTTTTCCCCTTCCTATACTTCAAAAGCGGTTTTCTCTCGTGAGCTCCGTCCGCGGACTGACGCTATCTCGATGAAAATGTTATTGTATTTTAAAACCCGCGGATCGTGAATCTAGACTCTCTCTTATTTTCTTATTTTCCTCGGCTAAAAAAATCTAAAAACGAGAATGAGCAAATTCACGTGGAAATGTAAACATCTGCGACTGGCCACGAGGAAATCACCCTCGCGAATATGGGGGGAAAATCTTGATTTTTCGAATCAATAAATTCAGTAGGCGCTTTGCGGTGCAAAGACAAATCTCGGTCTCTCGAACCTACCCATTCGGTTGACAGAACCGAGTTGCGCCACAGTAAACCGAAGGTTCAGTTCAATGAACCACAGTCTCGGTTCATCGTCCCGGAGAGCTAGGAATATGTTCTGCATGTAGGAACATACGAGTCTGAAGAAACGGAAGGTTGTTGGTTGATTGCGGGGAATTTTCAGATCATAGAGCTGAACCTCCAGTGTTTGCCGAGATGGATTTTGATCTTGTCAACCAATCATCATCGCGCCGGAGAAGGGATTTTGGTAATGACCAAGAAAGGCACCACGAAGATCCGCACCAAGTCACATTTCGGAGAAGAAATTAGCTGGGAGTAATTTTGAATTGAACTATTCGCTAATTTTTTCCTGGCAAAAATTCAGCCCCGCGCGAGAAAAGATAATTCGGACGTATAGAATTGGTCGTTAAACTTTGTCCTCAACTTTGAGTCTTACGGAGAAATAGAACAGCAAACCACTTTCCCTCGATTATCAAGCTTCACACAATAGAGGCGTAGCGTGTGCTTTGCGATTTATCGATTGATCTGCCATTTAAACCTACGGAGAAGGATCGATAAACAGGGTGTTTGCACGCAACACCTTCATAATCGATTCTAAATTTACCTTAGCTTCAAATGGGAAAATATCGACCCTCCATCATTCACGCTTCGCAACAGTGTGTAACTGGAACGTTTCTATTATAATCGAACAATTCGTTTGCGCACTTTACTTTCCATAAAAGAGCTAAAAATTGTAATCTCGGCCGATCACCGGAAACAAGACGAAGACGTTAATCAAACACGACCTCCTCCCGCCTTTTCCCGCCACTAAAAGCAGGCTTACCACGCGGTTCGTATCGTAAGTGGCAGCTCTACTTTCCTCTTAAGTTCGGATTGACTCATTTCCCCGGATCCAATCGAATTAGGATCCAAGGGAAATTGCTCTCTAATTGATAGAACCCCATGCAGTGGCGTGATGTGCTTTTCGATTCATCGATTAATCTGCCATGTAAACCTATGGAAAATGATCGATAAACCGGGGGTAACCTTAATAATCGATTCTTAACCGCAGCTTAAAATGGGAAAATATCGATAATCGATCATTCACGCCTTGCCACGGACCCCATGTTGTCTGGAAAAAAGCTGAAAGCGGAAGTTGAACTAACAGATTCTACTCGACCTTAATCCCTGAAAATTTGAAAGCCGGAGCGTGGATGTGCCTGATGGCTACTGACAATAAAATAATCTCTGTTAAAACTCATGTCTATAGATGGCTGTAGATTCCTAAGTCACTAAATAAACAGGAATAGAAGCCGAATAAACTGCAAAAAAATTTAAAAAAAAAAAGTTGAACTAACCTCCAAAGAGCTCCCTCTCCGGGCTGCTGTCGTCCTGGTGCGAGGAGCTGCTGGCCCTCGATATATCGATCCTCGGCGTGGAGCTGATGCCCAAGCTGTTGTTGTTATTGTTGGAGCCGGGGGGAGGGGCGGGGGTCGCCGTGGAGGCGGCAACGGAGGCCGTGGAGCTCATCTTCTTCTGCTCCTCCGGGATCTGCGGCAGCGAAGGGGCGAAGTGCTCGGCCAAGGGACTCTCCGGGCTCAAGTCCTCCAGGGACGCGAACGGCGCCAACACTTCTAACTTTTCTTTCTTCGCATTTCCCGGCTTGTCCTGCTCCATTTTCCAGGAGACACCTGAAACAGAGAAATCGTCCCTTCCATGAGCTATTTTAATACCCTTCACCGTAACTTCGGCCGTTGGCTTCAGTGCGCTGCGCCGCACAGTGAATCGAGTCAATTAGAGAAATCGGACATGAAATTTTTGACTTAAACTGAGAATTTCGGTGTTTATTTCGTCACATTTTAAAGTATAAGGGGTGGATCTGGAAGAAAATTTTACAAGAATACCAATGGAACCACTTTTGGGACCTCAAAGTTGTGTATGAATGGAGTTATAAGCTTTTAAAGTTTCCAAATTTTGTCCGACTTCTCCCATGGACTCGATCCACTTTGCGCCGCGGTGCTGTAACAAGGTTGCCAGGATGAATGGGTACGTATTTTACATGGGTTTAAATGGAGGGGAAAGTGCTGATTTGTCCAGCACGAGTTGGCAAAAATTTGCTTCAATGGGCCTGTTGCATGCAAGAAATACAGCCGTGCGAATAGACTTTTTAGAGGGTAAATGACACGAAAATTACGCTGGTCACATTAGAAAAGTCTGAAATACACTCCTTACTGCGCAATTTGCGTTGTTAGGAACGCGCTTTTTCAAATTTCCCGCGTTTGGAGGCAGTTTTTTAACGGAAACAATTAACGGCAACTCGCGGCTATTTCCGATCAACTAAAACTGACAACATAACCTAAAAATCGGAGCTCGTGATATCGTGAAATGAAATGTAGAAGGATTGCGTCGGATATTTAAAAGTTGATCGATTTGGTTACCGCATAAAGCGTATATGGACCACTATAAGAGATCACGTTGGGTTTGTAAACAAACTGAAGGAAAAAATAACAACAACAACAACGACTCGGCATCTTCCGGAAATCACCGAGCCCGCCGTTTGCTCGTTTCCGGTGATTAGAAAACTGCCCCCAGACGCGGGAAATTTGAAAAAGCGCGTTCCTAACAACGCAAATTGCGCAGTAAGGAGTGTATTTCAAACTTTTTTAATGTGACCATCGTAATTTTCGTGTCATTTAACCTCTAAAAAGTCTATTCGTGCGGCTGTATCTCTTGCATGCAACAGGCCCATTAAATGCTACTTACCCCTGATCATAGAGTAATGCTGCCGTGCCAAGGAAAAACGCCGTATGAACCTCCAGGCATTGCGAAATTTCCTTTGATAAAACACGAATTTCCTGTTTAACTTCCCCTCCAATTTTTCAGATAATTTTGCTTGCAATTTCACCTAATGTTCCTGAAAACTTCATAGAAAAACATTTATGAATTTCCTCATAGATCGAAGGAAATTTGGCAACTCTCGAATGTTCATATGGCGTTCCCCCTAAGCACGGCAAAATGGACTACTAAACAAGGCTGCATCGGAGTCATCATTTTGATCGAAAACTGACGGAAAGCGTGTATCCAGGCCTATAGCTACAATCTGGGGTTAAAGAGAGTTCGATTTAACTCTCTTCATTTATAATCTCCTCATAAAATGTCTATTCGCTAATCGATCGAGAAAAAAGATAGTCATATTGAAAAGAAACAACGAATAAATTCCTCGTATTGCAACAGAGAAGAATAGAAAGAGAAGTCATGGCTACATGTCCGACAAAAATCACGAAGTTTTATAGAGAAGCTATTCGCGGAAACCACAATCGGCGATAGAACATGAGTTTGCATGCAGAGCTAGACCATAACAACATCGATTCACAACGAAACCAACAAAGCACGCCATAAATGAGAACCTGTCCGAAATTCACATTGTTTTCTGGCACGGCGGTTATGTTTTATGCGCCTGGTGGTCAGATTAAAGGGTAGGTATCAGTGCAGTGGCGTGCGTTGCGATGTATCGACTGATCTGACATTTAAACCTATGGAAAAGGATCGATATAATCAGGGTGTTCGCAACGAACACCTTAATAATCGATTCTTTACCCAAGTTTGAAACCGGGAAATATCGAATATCGATCATTCATATTTCGCCACTAGAGGTAGTCGTTGAAAATTTACTCCTGCGTCAGTGTAAAATATATTCATTGAGGAGAAAACTGATTGACAAAATTGTTCTTCGTTCGAAGAATGCGATTATCTACAGCTGCGCGGTATCGTTTTTCTACAACACCGGGGCGCGTCATAAAAGCTGGAAGGAGCGAGAGTGCCCCCTTCCTTTTTTTTAGTAACTGATAAAATTAAGTTTTTCAGCATAACAATGACGAGCAAGAAATATAAGAGAAGATAAAAATAAAGTAAAGGAGAGATAAAAGAAGGAGAAGGAGAAGATAAAGTTTTTGAGGTTTCAGCCCCTCCACTTCGCAGTACCCGTTTTTTACACAGAGTCCATGTTATTATGAGATATTTTGCGTTGATGGTCCCTGCTCAAGAAAAAAATCGCTATTGAACAGTGAAAGTCTAAAATCTTGTTGCATCAGTTTTTGGACACTGCGGTGCGCACAAGACAATTAATGCAAGCTTTGGCAAATAATGAAGTCTCTGCAAGGAATTTAGAGGAATTCATTATCCAGCGTTTTACTATCTTGTCAAAGGCGACGGGCATAATGTTTCTATCAATTCTTTCAAAATTGAACCCTAAAGACGTTAAGAACTCCTATAAGGTTCACGTTGTAACGCCAGCGCCTCACAAAATTAAAGAGTACTTAATCTACATATTATTTTCAAAATATTAATTTGATCGATTTTAATTAAAGCCTATAAGAGTTTACATAACGCGTGGTTAGTCAAATTTTGTACACTGGAAAAAAAACACATTGGATCTAGAGTCCAGACTCTTAAGAACATCGACAAGAAAGAATACTCTTGATTCAATCGGATTTTTGCTTTAATCAAGAGCCAAGCCTCTTAATTTGAACGGATTTCCTTTTGATGTAAGCAAAAATCTGATTGAATCAAGAGTATTTTTCCTTGTCAAGGACTCTAGATCCAATGTTTTTTTTTTTCCCCCAGTGTAAGCAGAGATAGGATTGTACACGTTTTCAGGTCTGGAACTGGGTATTATGTGTAGACTTTTCAACCTAGTCGGTTTAAATTCATTTCATCTATTCTTGCAGAGACGTCATTGGTCAGACAGTGCCGTCTAGAGATGTGTGTTAAGTGTGTTTTTTACTGAACACAAAGACGGGACGGAACACTAAGCAAGCAAACACACACGCACACACATGAGAGTGGAAAGAAACTAACCTAATATATTTAATAACTAGCTTGCCACGTCTATAACTCATCGTTGCCTCGATTCCGTGAATGAGGCAAAGACACCACGTTCGGCACTTTCCGCTCTGTCCATTGGTGGCTGTAACACGCACAGATGTTAAGTTTCTTAGCATAGGAAAACTACCCCCGCAGAGTTTCAACCGGTGTTCTAGTAATATAGTGGTGGCTCAAAAGTAGAAAGTGCTCGCTATCAATTGAGCGCTGAAAAGTACGATCACACGCGTGTCAGAGTCTACCCAGTTAAAACGAAAATATTTTTCAAATCATTGAAACATCCATTAAAAATGATATGAGCCAGCTTGCAGTTATATTAAATTTGATAGTATGTTTAACAATGTATTTTCGCAAAGTCTTGTTAGAAACGGATCAAATTATTGCTGAATATATTTTAATCATTAGTTTAATTAATATTTTTTTAAATATATACATTATAACTTTGATAAAAATATTTTGGACAAGTTTATGAGAACATTTTTTACGATATTGCCATGATAATGTTCAAAAATAATTGTGAAAATATCCTCTCACCAGTATTTTCATTAAAAATATCCTCGCAAGATTTTAAAAATATGGTTTATTCACGAAAACATTCGTTGCGACCCGAAAAAATTTGTTAAAAAACCTAAAAAGTACGAGATATATTTCGTAATGTGCGTTTCAACCGATTCCTGTTTCACAAGGGAAACTTTTACGGAGTCTCACCTTTTCTCGCCCCCCCCCCCTTCATTATCCCATCTTTGTATCTAGTACCTGTGAAGTAATCAGTTTTCCACATGGTTCAAAACTCGCATTATCTTTGATAACGATTTCCTTCCATTTAAAGAGGACTCAGGACTCAGGGCCACTCTATTCAGGGCTGTCCGGAGCGGTGAAAGTGAACGAGACAAGCTCATCCTGCCTTCACGTCAGCGCAAATCTAATGAAAAAGTTGGAGCTACGCCATCTATCTATTTTATGGGAGACGGTGGCATAAAAAGTACGAATTTCCACTGCACTCGACGTTGCGCTGCCAGATTGCAAGCGAAATCATATCTTTATCTGGGAAAACTTGCTCGTATCTATATAATTTACAGTTCTTTGTGGCAACAGCGCTTTGCATTCGTCGCGGTAATGATGATGAGCCCTGATAATGTCGGCTATCGGCATGGAAATGTCGATTGCCGCCAGTGTAATACAACTAATGGACACTACCCCCACAGCGTTGCCAATTAGTGAAAAAATGGTACATAGAGTGAGTATCATTGGTTTGGATGAAAAATTCCCAACACCCAACTGTGAAAAACGAGCGGTAATCTGAAATATGTAGGTGTTAGAGACGAAGCACTCGGGGTCAGCAGGGTTTTAGAGTCAAACATGTAAATTTTGTTGTAAGTAGTAAGATTTAAAGAGGAGAGGATTATCATAAGCCACTGAAAGAATTTTTCAAAATTGAAAGCATTTTCTTTGCCATAATTGTAACCGAGGTTGAGAAAGCAGGCGAGTTCTTACAAACACAGCAAAAAATGAGAATTTTTAAGAAAATTTCGAATGCAATGGACTATTTTTAGTGCAGTAAGTTTCAGAAAAGTTCTTAAATACTCCACAGCTTGCACTACGAAGCACTAAAACTTATTTAGCAGGCATATATTCATGTATTCTCTTCAAATGTGAGTGAACTTCCCTTCATTTTGCTATTGAACTGGCCCACCACTGAATTTCTACAGCACAAGTATTCTATACCTTGTATGTCATGTCGGGATGAAAGTAAAATGTGCCTACTTTCAGCCGAGCGCTTAAAAGGATAAACGACTCAGCCTTTAGGAATATGTGATGGAATCCGTGGCAGGAGGCAATGCAACCCATTTGCAATTTGACCCTAAGAGTTAATTCGACTCCAAGTTTAAGAATACGAAGTTCTTAACTTGACCTACTGTGACTCATTCAATATCTTTTTACCGCGCGCGGGGCTTTCGAAAAATGAAATGGTTAAAGACGCGTCGTAAGTTTGGAACCTCTTTCTGACCTGCGATCAAGTTTTCATTGGACGATAGAGTTTTTAGCTACAATGAAAACTTCTGTCAAAGTTTGTCTCGACTCACACCAAAATTTAAGTTGTGACGTTGTTTTTGTGAGTTGTTCCATTCATAATTTAATCCTCGTATATAATTCAAAACCAATACACGTCAGATAATCAATACTTCAATTTTGTCCATAAATGTCATACAGAATGCTCTTACACAAAAATCGTCGCTTCTCTTACGAAAGAACGTAACTATATTTCAATGTTGATGAATTTCCCCTCACAAATTCCATTTTTACCAAGAGAATCTTGGGCATTTCTAATTGGAAACTTCACTCATTTTCCTCCCGATCTCATGCAAAAATCATCATTTTTGAACAGAAATTTCACAGTTATACTCTTGTAAAAAATTTAATTGTTTAAGCTAATTTTGCAACCTTGGAATGGAGTTACGTTCCTTCGTTCGGGGAACAACGAAATGAGAGACTTGAAAGATCTGGCATTCAGGCCAGCGACCATCGTCGGAAGAGGGAATGCACCCTGCGTGGCTAGCATCGCATCCTTGACCCGGAAACATGACATCATTTCAGAGACATAGAAAGGCGGAACTCTTGAAAAACGAGCGCCTTTTATTTTTCTTACGGTTCTACTTGTGAAAGGTTGAGTGCAAGATCGACGAATTAACCGACGGATTCAAGACTTAGAAAGGAGTGCCATTGCTGCTTCCCACTCTTTGTACAATCGCTCTTTTTTTCATGCTGAGGTGAATTAATTTGTTTTAGCTGCGAGACGTGAATTGAAAAGTTCCTAACGCCATGTCATGATTGAAATGGTTCGATAGCACAGAGTGCAGCCAATCAATAATGCAAAACTCGGAATGCCTTTTCATATTAAATGTAGGTAAACTAGTTTTGCCTTTTTAAGTGGGCATTTAAATTACCCGTGTTCGTGGTACGATTCCGGGGAATCCTAGTATTTTGTGATGTGTGGCTTTCGACGAGGAGAAATTTCTATTCATTGATCTAGCAACAATTTTTGCGTCGTCTAATTTTTATTAACGAGCTTTCATAGAAAAATCTGCACGACAACATTATGTGACCTGCCTTGAAACTTTAGTTCAAGTTCGTGTCTTAATTTTACATGGTCGACGATTACAAAATGTTGGTACCAATGAAAATGTTGGTACCTGAATAAAACGGAAAAAAATCGAACTATTTTTTTTTTTGAAGGGAATGGGGTGAGTTAGGAGTTGTATTGAGCGCAACTAGCCACGCACTTTCTCTTACCAAAAATTTAAAGTTGAGGAAGTATATATGGAATGTGAAAACAGGCGTTAAGCTCAATCTCCAGCACTGACTTTATTGGAGGGGAAAAACACTCGTTTTTCGGTTAGATCTCGATGTCACTTGGTTCCTTCAACTATTATAATCGGTTCAATTGTAAAACAAGTTGGATTTTGCAATCGCTAGCGATAGCAATATTCGTCATGGGAACGTTAGCTTCTGGGATATGAAAATGTTAAGGTACAGTTCGTTTGTAGTATCTTCTGAATTGAAGGGGCTATGTAATTTTGTGTTGACATCTCTTTTTTAACATTTTTAATTATTTTCTTTGCATACAAGAAAGCTGTTATGTACCAATTATTTATTTTCGTTGGATTATATATGGTTTTCGGAAGTTAACGCATTTAAGTTTCAGGTTCGCTTTTTCGGCGTAAAGTATACGTAAGGTGTCCCAAAAGCACCGGGACTTGTTCTGTAACTTCGAAAGTAAGATAGATACAGACATGATCTTGATTTCATTTTAAAGATCAACTCAATACCTATCGATTAAAACCAAGATCAGCTCAATCGGATAAAAATTGACCGAGTTATGGCAATTTGAAATCAGCGAGGAAAGTTTACGCCTACGGTTTTTAAGGAAGATTCTTCATCGCCGTAAATCGAAAAGTCGGCCGATAAAGTGATGCTTATTGTGTTTTTTTATTTTCGAGGTGTCATTTATCAACATTTTGTACCATCAAACACAACAGTTGACAGTGCGTATTATTGCAAAGTACTAAAGGAGTTGAGAATGCACATTTCCCGGAAACGGTCGGACTTGAAAGCTTCGTGGATACTCCATCAAGACAATGCGCGGCCTCACACATCGAGCTTAACACGTGAATTTATGAGTAAAAATGGAGTTGAAACAATCCCTCATCCCCCTTATAGCCCTGACTTGGCTCCATGTGATTTTTGGATGTTTCCTACGGTTAAAAAGGAGCTTCGCGGACGAAGATTCGTATCGAAGACCGAAATCCAGAATGCAATTCAAAATACTTCTTCAACTCCATCCCAGAGGAAGAATTCAGGAAAACAATGTTGGATAAGTGGCAAGAGCGCATGAAAAAGTGCATCCGGTTTGATGGACGGTACTTTGAAAAGCAAAAGGAAGTTATGGAAGATTCGGAGAAAAGTGGATACGAATATTAACTTTTTGAATGCTGGTAAGCAAAAAATCTTCCTAAAAACCGTAGGGGTAAACTTTCCTCACTAATTTCAAATTGTCATAACTCGGTCAATTTTTATTTCATTGAGCTGATCTTGGTTTTAATCGATAGGTATTGAGTTGATCTTTAAAATGAGACCAAAATCATGTCTGCATCTATCTTACTTTTGAAGTTACAGAACCAGTCCCGGTACTTTTGGGACACCCTACGTATGATATGTTTACTCTACACATATGCCCGAATGCGCATCATAAGGGACCTATGTGCTTCCTAAGTTGCCAAGTATTAATTATTGTTAGATGATTGGTCTAAAACATTCAATACAACCAGTAAAAATTAGCTGTTCCCTACGAGATTCGAACCCCCGCTCCCACAAAAAGTGACACTCTCCTAGAGTCAGAACGGTGGTGTAGTTGATTGAGCTATCTCGCCGCTCGGTAATGAGAGGAGAAAAAGAGAACAGTTAAGGGATCTCGAACGCTGAGCGGGGCTTCACAAAAGACGTCCTTGAGATTTCAACGGTTCGGCCACTGGCGTGATAACAGACAACGGATCAACCGCATTACTCTGTGAGACATTGTTTACCTAT